GTGAAGACACTTGCAAGTTGGTCAGCGCATGCTCGGAGTACACGTCCTGGTAATCCGTCTGGCCCTGTTGACCTGTTTAAAGGTCTTACTCACATCGGCTATGGAGAGCGTGATCGCACAGTCGTCCGGAACAGCTGATGCTCTCATGCATGCTTCAGTGTTGCTTGACTCGAAGCGAGCATAGAGATAATTTAGCTTGTCTGGTAGGCTCGTGTCACTGGTCAGCTTGCGGCTGTGCATCCCTTTGTAGTCTGCAATAGTTTGCAAGCCCTGCCACATCCAACGAGCGTCGGAGCCGGTGTAGTATGATTCAATCTTAGTCCTGTATTGACACTTTGCCTGTTTGATGGTTCGTCGGAGGGCATAGCGGGATTTCTTATAAGCGTCCGGGTTACAGTCCCGCTCCTTGAAAGCGGCAGCTCTACCCTTTAGCTCAGTGCGGATGTTGCCTGTAATCCATGGCCCTTCGCTATTTATGCTGGGAACTTGGAAAAAACAATGTCAAATCATAACGTCATTGATCTTCAGGTCGGAAAGTCGGAGCTCTAGAAAGATGCCCGAGATTCCGAGTTGGAATTCCGAGTTGGATGACCATTCAAAACCAGTTTTCTTTTTCGTGTTCCCAGTTGTCTTGAACACAATGATGCTTGAGATAGGCCATACAGCAACGGTTAGCAGAAGCCGTAACAAATCCCCCCAGTCCCTAGTTGAGGAGCAGACAGCCATAGCCTCCCCCATGATTCCCTCCCCTTTTATTCTCCTCAAGGTAGCTGAGGTGGAAGACCTTGGTGGCGTCAAGGAGGAGACTCATAGCTCTCAGGCTACGAGGCTTCTTCCTCTGAGACCTGGAAACTCCTACCTGAGAAAGAAGGCAGAGCAGATGTCCAGGGTGGAGGATAAAACAGGGTGTTGTCTGCCCTACTGGCAGCTGTTTAAACTATTTTGCAAGAGCAAATAAAGCTAATGTCACCCTATTTTGACTTGCATTCAGATGTCAATGAAAAAAATAATTTGAAAAACCTTGTGTTTTTTATTGGACAAGATATAGATAGATAAGTTAGAGTTTAGCAGCACTGTAAGACTTTTCTGTAATTTCAACAGTTAAACAATGTAGAATGCACAGTAATTTCGTAATGTGTTTTACAGCATTAATGCTGTAGATTGCACTGCTGATATTAACTGTAATTGGAAGCCTCTTGTAAAAATTACATGACGTTCAGACTATTTTAGTTAATATCTTCTTGAAGTGGAAGAATATTTTCGGTAGGTAACTTGACTTGTTTATAAGTCCTACTGTTAGCTGGCTAACGTTTGCTAGCTAGCTCAAATTGACAAGCCATTTTGGTCTGCTCTACATTGCTCGTAAATATAGCAGGGTTTCCCAAGGATTATATTTCAAGTAGGATAGCAGCCTACACAAGAAATAACTCATATTGGTAGCCATCTAATGTCACCGTGATATAGTCTACTACTCAATGGGGAGAGCATGACCGGCAACAACACCGGGACCAGAGCATATGAGCGGAGTGGAGCGGTGAGAATCTCAGCTCCTCGCTCACGGAGCTGTTCACCCCTCCGCTCCCCCCGCTCAAAGCCACATCAGGCCAGTCCGCACATTATCGCTCAGCGCTCAACGCAGTTTGCATCGCGCTCCACTCAAATCGCCCCCCGCTCACTCCAAAAAAGGAACAAAATCTGCATGTATTTCACTTTTAGCTTAAACCACAGCCTTACTTTATCTCCCCGAATTTGTTGCATACAGACTCATCTCGGATTATCCATTCTGTCTTGAAACGGGGATCTAACACTGACGCTAAAATGAGATGTTAATCAGTATAGTATATTCCATAGCGAATTGACACGTTGTTTGCCAATGTTTCTGCAAAAGCAGCGATGCCCATTGGAAGTGCAGCATGAGTGTAATCGGTGAGCAGGGATTTGATTTCTGTGACAGCAGGGAGGATCATCCCCAGGTTCCCCAGCTCCTTCTGCATTTTGTCTGTGAGGTCTGCTAGTGGTGTCAGCACACTGACAAGGTGCGTCAGCTGCCGTACTTGATTCAGGGTGATGTTAGCAACATTAGACTTGAGTTTGTTTTACCATAATGGGTCTTTTTGGAACAACCGGATGAACGACTGAATCATCCGCAGCTGGCTGCTCCATCGAATGGCGCAGGCATTTGTGGGGCGGACACCTAATTGGTCGGTTTCCTCTGTGCTCTTGCGTACACTTTTCACCAGGTGCCCGACTTTCACTAACAGCCTATTAATGTTGTCGTGCTTGTTAACGGCGTTTTTGATCGCCAGCTGAAGCATGTGAATGGGGCATCTCAGATGTAAATTTGACAAAGTAAAGTACTGATTTATCATAGTTTCTTGGGGGAGTGTAGCCCGGTTGAGCTGCGCTGGCGAAGTGTTGCATCCCTTCGCGTTCTCCTTTACTCAGCGGTTCATAGTCCATGAAAATCATTTCAAAAAATGCTACATCCAGCTCTCTTTTTCTCTCCCTTGTTATGGTTGGGCCTTTGCGTGCAGTGAATAAACTTTTGAATTCCTCAACCCTTTTCTCTTGTAGCTGCTGCTGCTCCTCTCGCTCTATAAAATACAAATTAATGGACGACACAAATTAAATTAAACAGATGGATTCTGGGTCAGGCTTGAGCATGCTTCAGACTCGTGGTGTGAGCGAGCGAAATTGGAGCGGGACATAGGGCGACGCTCCGTCCTTTTAAAAATGCCGCTCTGCGCTCTGTTCAAAATCCGTCCGTTCACGCTCCACGCTCGCTCCCGCTCCACTCCGCTCATATGCTCTGACCGGGACACAGTGAGTGTCCTCCTAGCTGTCACACAACCCTGTGTGATTTGGTTCACTCTGCCCACAGCTGCTACATAAGTCATTGTTTTGCAGGCAAAGAGTGTCCTTATAGCCTCTCCCCGCTAACCATTTGTTTAATTTAAACTTTGTTCCATAATTAGCTAAACCTGTTCACTTTACCAGTAGTATGCAAACATTTGGTGGCACAGAAAGAAAGTAAAAAGTTGAGTCTTGTACAATAATCTGTGGTATTAGGCTATAACAATGTTTTATTAGTTAGCTAATAAGTCCCCTTGTCACCTGTCTTTTTACCCACCGAGTAACAGTCCTGGTGCTCTCTCCCTCTCTCTCTCTCTCTCTCTCTCTCTCTCTCATTCTATTCTTTATTTTTCTATGCTGATCCTAGGGGTGAGAAGAGCTGACAAATCAGAACTGAGGATTGTTATGGAGCTCCATGAGGAACACTTGATGCTGCGCTGACTTGTCTCTCCTGGTGCTCAACCTGGCCAAACTGTCCCGTTGTGTGTTTCCTAACCCTAGCCGGTCTAGCTTCAGTAGACGCAGACCTCAACCCTACACTGTAAAACTTTCCCCTGTAAATGTACAGCATTCTACTGGCACCAGAGTTGCCAGCTTAATATTGTAATTTTGCGTTACAGCAGAGATGCTGTAATATAATTTACAGTACTATTAGTTTTACAGTAGTTCCTTACTGTAAAACATTACATCATCCCTGTACATTTACAGCAGGGATGCTGTACTATGTTTTACAGTAAGGAACATAGATTTGCTATTTTACTACTAAATCAATGTTCATATATAGGGATGTAAACAGAACAGTCAGTGTCACAATCACTCATTGTGATGAGTGTGATCACTCACAATCATTATTGTGAATGTTATGTATGGTAGGCCTATGGATTGTGACGTATTCTGTCATCCATGGGGCTGGGGATATGACATCTCGAGAGAGGTCTGATAAATAAAATGCATCTGGTGGCTAAATATCTACCTTAATTGAAAACGTGTTAAATCTATCAATAAATTAGTTTTGACCTTACAAATATGTCCACCAACCTCATTCAATTCACTCACTTCCTGCCCGTGCACAAAAGTAGCGTCAATAGAAACCCCATGTTTCCGGTAATGCCTTCTTTCCGGCAGCGGCTATTTCCTCGCCAACATGCCAGTGAGTACCAGAGCCTGACATAATAACCATTTTACCGTTAACATAGGGCCTTGGATGCCAATCTTGGAGTCCGTTAATGCATAATCAATTCGCGTACTGACTGTTGTGTGTTTGAGCTCTGTCGTGGTGTTATCATAATGGTTCAAAGACGCGCTGATTAGTAACGTAGTGTGATACAAGATGGCGGCGTACATATCGCAAACATGGAGAAAAGAGTAACCTGAGAATGTAACACTAGCTACAATATGTCTGAAAATACGTGCAATGGCCTCCACTATATTGACTGATGTTCTCGTAGAAAGTGTTGTTCACGTACTGCTCAAATAACAGGTGAAAATGTATTATTTTACTTGAGTAAAAGTATTTGGTTTTAAATATACTTAAGTATTAAATGTAACTGATATAATATACTTAAGTATCAAAAGTAAAAGTTTAAATCATTTTAATGTCCTTATATTAAACAAACCAGACGGCATAATTTTATTGGTTCTTATTTATTTACTGAAAGCAAGTGGCATGCTCCAACACTCAGACATAATTTACAAACGAAGCATGTGTTTAGTGAGTCCACCAGATAAGAGGCTGTCGGGATGTTCTTTTGATAAGTGTGAATTAGACCATTTTATTGTCATGCTAAGCATTACAAAAGTAATGAGTACTTTTGGGTGTCAGGGAAAATGTATGGCATAATAAGGACATTTTATTTAGGAATGTACTGAAGTAAAAGTTGTCAAAAATATAAATAGTAAAGTACAGATACCCCCAAAAACTACATAGGTACCACTTTCAAGTATTTTTACTTAGCTACACAACCATTGGTGTGAAGTACTTATCTGACTGCATATCGGTATCATCCATAGTTTGCTCTGGATTAGGGTGTAGGTTAACTGACAAATGTTAAATGCACTGCCTCATTGTCACTTGTAAGCAGTTGTCCTAACTACTCAAACTAAATGCAATGTTCTAAGTAGTCTTGCTTGTCCACTCTATCCTGCAGCTCGCAAAAGACTTGTTGCACCCATCCCCTGAGGAGGAGAAGAGGAGCCACAAGAAGAAGCGTCTTGTCCAGAGCCCGAACTCCTACTTCATGGATGTTAAGTGTCCAGGTAGGTCCTCTCTGTTTCCTTCATTGGATTTATGAGTTTGAATGGGCCGCCTTGTCTGTTTTTCTGAATTCAGTAGCTTAATGAGTCGAATACTTACGACGGTGTATTTATTACGAAGCATATGTGCCGAAATGAGGAGGAACCTAGCAGTATTTGTCCATTTAAGATGAGCTTGTTTTCGTAGTTATTTTGGTATTTTCCTTTTGTTACTGTGTGCTCTAGTGAATACACCTCAGGCACTAATGACGCTGGTCTCAGATGATGCAGTGTGGCATGTAATTGTACTACATGTGTGCAGGGCTCAACTGCGACCAAAACACTGGCATTTGCGACCCTTTGACTTGGTAGTGCGACACCAATTTTTTTGTGAGCGCTAGTGTGCCAGGGGAAAAAATGTATCTGGTCACGTTAGTTGTTGGTTCATAGTTGGCTAAAAAAATAGGGATTATCAAGATATATTCAATCAGCAATGGGTATGCAGACCAGGTATTCAAAAAAGAGTGATCTGTAGTCTTGGTTTAATCTATGCGATGCACAATTGTCGCCATGCGCTGTTTGGACGAATTTTTTTATAAAGGCTTTCCCAAAACCCCTCCCCCTCCAAACAATCAGTGTTAATGTATTGTCAAGTTAAAATGTAATTATTTGTGAATGAGGGTAGGTCATTATAGGCTATTTGCTCAGCCTGCAAATTTAAAGATAACATTTAAATGATACGCACATCATCTGTCAGTATTATTTTCATTCGGGCCAGTAGCTTTCAGTTACCACTGGTCTGGTGTGCCGCTGGCAAACTGACTTGAATGTCAAGCCCTGCAAGGGCATGCTAATTCAAGTCATTATTAGCCTGGTTCTGTATGGAACACAGGTCAGGTCACTATGCATAAAAAAAATTGGTGCGACCAAATCATGTGCTGGTGCCATCAACTGAAAGTTTATAGCAACAGTGCCACCAGTGGAAAAAGTTGGTCTAGAGTAGGGCTGTTGCGGTGACCGTATTACTTGCACACCAGCAGTCACGAGTCATGAAGGCAGTCAAATTCCACGTGAACGTTTAGTCACGATAATTAGGCTTCTCCAAGCTCTGATGCTGATGGTCATTAGTAGCCTACCAAACTTGCTAACTGCCTGGTACTCCGCACTCTATTGTCCCTCTAATCACTCTGACATCAATGCAAATGTAATCGAAAATCTAATCAAACACTTCATGAGAGCTCATGTTGTGCAACATTTCTATAGCCTATGCAATAGCGAGAGAAAACAGAGTGATGGCCTCTATTAAAAAGAGGAGGATCTCATCAGCTTTCCGTCGGCTAGGCCTACTATATTTCTCAACTTTCCTAATATTAAGCACATTGCCTATCTTTACAACAGGAGTATAGCCTACCTGGCTGGCATGAAAATGAACCACGGGATTTGCAATTTAAGTGCATATTTTTTCCCCCTGCCCCTGTTTCGAGGCAGGCGCATGATAATGGTCCATTCTAAATCAAAACAAATGTCACATAGTATATGTAAAGACAAGATTAAATCAAGAATAGTCTGATGGTAGGCTATCACTTGTGAATTATATATTGTCACTTGTGAATGATGCCCAGCGTAAGGCAAGAAACAATACCTTTGAGACTTTTTCGAATCATAGTCGCACACCTCATGTAGCCTAGCCCATAGGCCTATATGTTTTGATAAGGTTTGTATCACAACTAAAGTGACCAAATAACTTCTTAAAATTAAGCACATGAATCCGCTTTACAAGGGGTGTAGAGCCTAACTGGTATTAGGGGTGGGCGATATGATTTTTTTTTTTATATCACAATATTTTCCGCTGTTCAGACGATAACGATATAATATCACGATATACTGTACATTTAAAAAAACTAGCATTTTATGAGCCCTTCAAAGTTAATAAATGACCAAATATTGCTTTTAACCTTATAGAAACAGAAAGGGAGCATTGCAGTATATTGTGACAGTTCCAAACGACAGAGGCGGCCCCCTTTTTTCTAACAATTCTTCGTCGTCCTACAAATCAACCTCAATAGCATTATTTTCCTTGTCTTCAGTCATCCTCAATGCTTGCTTACACTTTTGCTAACGAAAGGAGTTTACTTCACTAAATGTTCGCTTACTTTGCAGTTGCGCATGCTTGTTTGTTGACTTTGATTGGCAGGCAGATTGCGTGTTACGTCCATGCTTCTAGTTTTTTTCTTTGCTAAAAAAAGGCTGTTTTTAGTAAAATAAGCAATTTGAACTACATTTACGTCATTGCTAAATGGCATATTATATTATTATTTAGCAGACGCTCTTATCCAGAGTGACTTACAGTTAGTGAGAGCATACATTATTATTATTATATATTTATTTATTTTTCATGCCCCCCGTGGGAATCGAACCCACAACCCTGGCGTTGCAAACGCCATGCTCTACCAACTGAGCTACATCCCTGCCGGCCATTCCCTCCCCTACCCTAGACGACGCTGGGCCAATTGTGCGCCGCCCCATGGGTCACTGTTGCTAACTCTGGAGCTCGGTCAGAGTGACCATCGGGTCCTTGGTCACCTCCCTGACCAAGGACTTTCTCCCCAGATTTCTCAGTTTGGCCGTGCTGCCAGCTCTAGGAAGAGTCTTGGTGGTTCCAAACGTCTTCCATTCAACTGTTGGACGTTATATAGACAGGTGTGTGCCTTTCCAAATCATATCCAATCAATTGAATATACCACAGGTGGACTGCAATGAAGTTGTAGAAACATTTCAAGGATGATAAATGGAAACAGGATTCACCTGAGCTCAATTTTGAGTCTCATAGCAAAGGGTCTGAATACTTATGTAAATAAGGTATTTCTGTTTTCATTTGTAATAAATTAGCAAAGATTTCTAAACCTGTTTTCGCTTTGTCATTATGGGGTATTGTGTGTAGATTAAGGAGGAAAAACATTTATTTAATCCATTTTAGAACAAGGCTGTTCTATTTTATTCAGCTTTGTTCCATTGTATTCTTCATACTATAAAATACTATAAAATAATGCCACGGAATTCTAACCAAATCTTGTCTGCTAAATGAACTAGTGTAGCCCACAGCCATATGGCATAGCCAGATCGGACCGAACATAAGGACAACTCCGAGTATGCTATTATGTTCTTTTGAAATAGGCTAAAATAAATAATGGATTTATTGTGAAGGTTTATGCAATATTACATGGACTTTTTAAAATGTAGATGTTCCAAAGGTCTGCATCAGTGGGTTGTCGGCTATGTGTGGAAGCCAGGAGATGCTAAATGTGTTTACGTTTATTAATGGTCAATTACCATGAGACCGAAAGTTATTTGCTTGACAATCATCGGCTGACGAAATTTCGTGACCGCCACAGCCCTAGTCTAGAGCCCCGGTGTGTGTTAATGATTGTATTTTTGTTTCCCTCAGGATGCTACAAGATCACAACGGTGTTCAGCCACGCCCAGACGGTCGTGCTGTGTGTGGGTTGCTCCACAGTTCTGTGTCAGCCCACTGGAGGCAAAGCACGTCTCACAGAGGGTCAGTAGTCTCAGCATTTTGTGTGAATTGCTGGTGGGTTCACCTGCACCCACTATCAATTGCTAATAACCCGTCCGTAACCGCCGACTATGAAAATCTGAAGCCCGCACCCAACCCGCAAATATAGAAAATGCGCTGTATAGTTGGTTCCCTTTTGTCCTTTTTTTTGTCTTGGTGGATCGATGTTAACTTTTTCTTCCCAAGTTTCCAAAAGCATTTGGCATGTTGGCGTGTGTAAAGTTAGGCCCTAAAGCTTAGGCTTATGTACTAATGCCAGATAAAAATATTGAAAGAACCTCAATGTAGCCTATAGATATGAATTGCACAAGAATTATACATTTATGGGTTTAATGATCGTTTTCACTTTATTCAACCCGCCAGCCACCCATCCGCCCTTCATATTTCAGGGACTGCAGGTTGAGTAAACCCGCACATCACTAGTGTGTGTGTGCCCTTGTGTTTTCAACTCAAGTCTCTTCAACAGCAGTTTTAGGTACAGCAGCAATGTCAATATGTATTGATGTAGTTAAGTTATCGGAAGTTCCCGAGTTCCGACTGGAAAGTTTCACTTGAGCGGTCCTCCAAGTCGTAATTACAAGTGGGAAACTCGGATAAAATGTTACCTAAGTTGTGAAGTTTCACCACTGACCCCTCTCACCTTTTCAACCAAAAGATGACGACAAAGCAGTTTTTGACCAACTAATCAATGTGGATAATGTAGCTAGTTTGAACATATTGTCATTGTTAAGCAAGCTTGTTAACTGTATTATTAGCAATTTTAGCTAGCTGATCTTATCAAGCTAGCTAGCTAAAATCGTATTGGTTGAAGAATTGTTCCGACTTCAAGAGCATTTGAACACAATCATTTTGTATTTAAAAAAAATATTGTAATTCTTATAATGTTTTTGGATACTTTTACCCCCTTCTCCCCAGTTTCGTGATATCCAATTGGTAGTTAGTGTTGTCCCATCGCTGCAACTCCCTATGGACTCGGGATAGGCAAAGGTCGAGAGCCATGCGTCCTCCAAAACACGACCCTGCCAAGCCGCACTGCTTCTTGACACATTGCTTTCTTAACCCGGAAGCCAGCCGCACCAATGTGTCGGAGGAAACACCGTCCAGTTGGCGACCGAAGTCAGCTTGCAGGCGCCTGGCCCGCCACAAGGAGTTGCTAGAGTGCAATGGGACAAGGAAATCCCGGCCGGCCAAACCCTCCCTAACCCGGACGACGCTGGGCCAATTGTATGCCGCCTCATGGGTCTCCGGTCACGGTCGGCTGTGACACCTGGGATCTAACCCGGGTCTGTAGTGACGCCTCAAGCACTGCGACCTTAGACTTCGCAGTTTCCCACGAGTATGTGAATGCCCCATTAGTCCTATTGTCAGTTACTATGTTAACCGACTAGGGTTTTTACTGGCTGATATTGGCACTGATTTAATTTAGACAGACCTGTCACATTCACTGTAGACAAAAGGTATGCACCTTTTATCAAATGACTGACAGTGAATCCCAAATCGCCCCTACCAACTCGCTCGTAGGGCCTTCTGTGTCACGTGTTGCGGACAACTTTTGAGGGTGACTGCCAGAGAGTGGCGAGGGGATCAATAAACCCAATAACTTCGGGACACACTTGTGACTTGAATGATGCAATTCATGTTCTACTTTTAAATGAACAAACCCCCCTGTCGTTTTACAAAAAATACCTCAGTAAGTTACACATTTACTTTCCAAGATATTTAATCTTTTACATGTATCAAGTCTCGAAATCCGACAAATGCACATAGCATATAATTAGGCCACGCCTCTCCATTCTTTTGTGAAGTTGTGCAAACTCAAAACTAACGTGGTGCCTGATTCCACTTCAATCTGAAGCCGGCAACGTTGCTGGCTCTGTCGGAGAGGTTATCAGAGGTTCTAATTAGCCCCTGCACCCTCCATAATTTTCACTCCTCAGCTTTGGGACACTTGTGCATAAAGCGTGGGTGCGTGTGAACACACAAATGGAGGGGCAAGGGGGTGATTTGGGATTCAGCCTGACTGCATTGTCAAGTGACTGAACTGCCACCCCCATGGTTGTCCAGACTCATTCCAGTGCCAAATAAACCTCTGTTTGTAGAAGGGTTGGGCTAGACCACTGGCTCCCCCCTTTTGAAAGCTGAGAACAAATGCACGTTATGATGCTATGCTGCCAGTTGCGGTAGACTGGATTCCATTCCAACATTGCGTAACCTTACTATAGCTTTAGAAGATTTGAAATTATTGTTTTGGCAGTGAAAGCCTTTGTGCCATCCAATCTGTCAGTTTATTACTAGGTGCTATGAATGTGAAACCAAATTAACACTGTTGCCCGCAACTCTCTCCTCATCAGATTGTAGTGAGATCAGTGGTTGTGTGTAGCAGTAATGCCCCTTTGTCTCAGTGGCCTGACTCTGTCATTTTGTCTTTCCATCAGGGTGCTCATTCAGGAGGAAGCAGCATTAGTCGTACTCTTGATGCCCCGGTAGAAATGTAAGAGAGGAGGGGTTGGACATGTTGATTTCAGCGACTCAAGCCTCGACACCCACTGCATCCAAGAAAGATTGATCAACAAGTGCTCATTACGCCTGGACACCAGATGGGTTTACTCATTCAATGTGATTGTCCACTTTGTCGCTGTAATTGAACTCTTCAACCCAATCTCCTTTTTTTAATACAATTGTTTTGGCTAAAGAATTGGTGGGTTGTACTTTTTGTTTCGTTTTCCATATATGCCTAAATTGGGATCAAAATGTTTTAATCTACATCAGTTGGGTGATTCTCATGAAACCAGTTTTTTTTTTTTAAACATGTCTAGCAAATTTAGTTACAAAACCATGATGCGTTTGCAAAAATCGACCATCATTCTGAGGACTAAGAGGTCTAGTTTTTAGCAACGTGTCATTTTAAATTGTACGTTTTCACCTGAATTTTGTACAGTTTTCACCCAGAAAATCTCGGGTCATTTAATACATTTTTACTTTAGAAAAACGTAACCTATTTGAATAAAACGCTTGCTGTAGTTTGTCCATAAATAACAAAACGGTATACTAGTTTACGTTAAACAATAATATGTACAGTGTCTGTCGACAGGCATCTCATTACAGTTTTTCAAATTCTTGTAGAAATTCCACAGTCAGTTTTTAAATGGTTATTCTAGAGTAGTCCTTAGATGAGCACAAGTAAATGTATTTGCTTATACTCAAACAACCCCTTTACCCCACTTGGCCTTCTCATTACCGAAACAGCAAAAAAACTCAAATTGGGAAAGAGTGACGTGAATTTTATTGTATAATATAATATTAAATATTTGTATTTTCAGTTATTGTTTAACTCTGGTCTTTTCATAAGGGGAACAATTGTATTTGTTTACTTTTTTTGGACAAACCATTGCGGTAATGAGAATTTTGTGGAAATTGTAAAATGCATAATCTGATGTAAAAAAAATATACATTTCATAATTATTTGTATATAAGTACAGGTCCTAATCTCAATGATCAATTAACATTTTGTGAAATGACACTTGATACTTTTTTGGGTCAAATGTAGGTTTTGTGATAATTACACAGTTGGCCAAGTTGCATATGTTTTCATAGCCAGTATGAAAAATGTATGCACTCACTAAGTCGCTCTGGATAATAGCGTCTGCTAAATGACTAAAAATGTTTAAAAAAATAGCCAGTTACAATTTGAGTGCTCAATTTCAAGTAAATATCAAGTAACAATTTGTCATGGGCTACTTAAAGGGCAACTCCACCACTTTTCATTTTCATTATCCAGCACAATAAGTGTCAATGTGAAAATGGCACGTTTCTAAGTTTTGTAGAAAAAAAATTAAGACATTTTAAAAACGGTGATTTTCAAACAATGAGATTTGCAGTGACGTGGAGAGTGTTAGTTTTTACTCTATTTAGAACTTAACGGACATCTAGTCAAAAGCTCAAACCAAGTTTATTCACCCACTGGGTCAAACAGCTGCAGACGACAAAGACATGTTTCCACAAGTACATATATTTATACCCTCCAATGGGTGGAGTTAACTCCTTGCACATCTAGACAGCCAATACATCTCTGTTGCTAGGCAGGAACTTAAGTGGTTCCTCTCATTGGTGTAGTCATGGCCCTGCCTCCTATGTGTGTATGTCATAGGACTGTTCCTCGACACTTCACCTAACCTCGGCCCACATTCCTCATAATCCACAGCTATCCAACCTTATCAGTCACCGCAACCAAGTGTAACTTTCCAGACACAACCTCCATTGACCCCACCATATACATTCCTCATACATGTAACGTTTACATTTTAGTCATTTTAGCAGACGCTCTTATCCAGAGCGACTTACAGTTAGTGAGTGCATAAATTTTTCATACTGGCCCCCCTGTGGGAAACGAACCCACAACCCTGGCGTTGCAAGCGCCATACTCTACCAGCTGAGCTACAGGGGACCTGTAACCATTAACTTCTGGTGTAGCAAGTATTTCAAACTACAACCCAACAGTCCCTCCTTTTTGAATAGTAATTCCATACTGCAACATCAAACTTTGAAATTACTTAGTGGGGAAAAAAAGTATTTAGTCAGCCACCAATTGTGCAAGTTCTCCCACTTAAAAAGATGAGAGGCCTGTAATTTTCATCATAGGTACACGTCAACTATGACAGACAAAATGAGGGAAAAAAATCAAGAAAATCACATTGTAGGATTTTCAATGAATTTATTTGCAAATTATGGTGGAAAATAAGTATTTGGTCAATAACAAAAGTTTCTCAATACTTTGTTATATACCCTTTGTTGGCAATGACACAGGTCAAACGTTTTCTGTAAGTCTTCACAAGGTTTTCACACACTGTTGCTGGTATTTTGGCCCATTCATCCATGCAGATCTCCTCTAGAGCAGTGATGTTTTGGGGCTGTCGCTGGGCAACACGGACTTTCAACTCCCTCCAAAGATTTTCTATGGGGTTGAGATCTGGAGACTGGCTAGG